AAAGGGATGCTGCACTGGGGGCACCCACTCGCTTACGCCAAGAGATTTGGAAGACAGCTGCCTGGGTGAGTGACTGGAAGAGATCCATATTTGTATCCATTCCAAAGAAAGATGATTCCACAGAATGTGGAAATTATCGAACAATATCATTAATATCACACGCAAGTAAGATTTTACTGAAGATAATTCTAAAACAGTTGCAGCAGTATATTGACAGAGAACTTCCAGAAATGAAAGCTGGGTTCAGAAGAGGACATGGAACGAGAGATATCATTGTCAGATGGTTTTTGGCTCACAGCAAAGAACACCAGAGAGTAAATATCTTGTGTTTTATTAACTATGCAAAAGCATTGGATTGTGGGGTCATAACAAATTATGGGTAACATTGAGAAGAATGGGAATTCCCCGGGACTTGATTGTGCTCCTGAGGAACCTGTACATAGACCAGGAGGCTGCTGTTTGAACAGAACAAGGGGACACTACATGGTTTAAAATCAGGAAGGGAGTGCATCAGGGTTGTATCCTTTCCCCTTACTTATTCAATCTATATGCTAAGCAATTAATCTGAGAAGCTGGACTACATGAAGAAAAATGTGGCATCAGGATTGGAGGAAGACTCCTTAACAACCTGCAATACACTGATGAGACAACTTTGCTTGCTGAAAGTGGGGACTTGAGGCAATTACTGATGAAGGTTGAAGAATAAAGTCTGCGGTATGGATTACATCTCAATATAAAGAAAACAAAAATCCTCACAACTAGACCTATAAACAGTATAGTTATCACGATAAATAGAGAAAAGATTGAGTTCTCAAACATTTCATATTGCTTGGTTCTACAATCGATGCCAATGGAAGCAGTAGTCAGGACATCAGATGACATATAGCACTGGGCAAATCTGTTGCAAAACACCTCTTTCAAGTGCTGAGGAGCAAAGACGTCTCCTTGAGGACTAAGGTGCGCCTGACACAAGCCATGGTATTTCCAATCACCTGGTATGCATGTGAGAGCTGGACAATGAATAAGGAAGACCGAAGAA